AAACAAAAACACAAAACTAGCTTTTAAAATATACAATACATACATTTTGCTGCATTTTATATTTAGATTGTTAGATACAGGAAAATAATATCTGTCCTCTGTTTACCTGGGTAGGGAATACTTGGCTAACCAAATACGCGCCTCTTTTAGAGACGAAGGTCCTTCATGGTACCATGTCTGCTGATACTGCACAGAACACATGCACAGACAATCACCTTCCATTAGTCATTCAAATCTATGCCAGTCTACTGTAACTATAAGGATACAACAAATCACAACAGGTGTTCTTACCTCATCTTGAGTCCGTTTTGCTTTTTCATCCTCTTTCTTTGATTTCTTCAAGGCATCAGGACCAACTACTGAAAGAATGTTCCTCAATCTGTGAGGGAAAAAGTCATATATATATTTGACTATATATATTGTTTTAGTTTTATTCTGTCATTTGAGATATGGTGTTTATGTAATGTCAAACACAATGTGCAGAAGTACACCACCTTTCAATGGTTTGGTACTTTTTTTTTTTTTTTTTTTAGAAATGAATAATTTTGAGCAAGTATGAATTAAATTGATCAAAACTGAGTAATATTTACATATATATTTATAATGCTGCAAAAAATGTATCAAGGTTTATACAAAAATATTCTTGCCCAGAATATGCTGCAAAGCTTACCAATAGTCATAAAAATCTGGCCACCCACCTCTCTCGTCTCTCTGCAGGCCCCTCCCCAAACAGCGTGATTGGCTCGCCAAGAGCTCGGAGGCAGGCCTTGACCTCTACATCATCAGTAGAGACCGTGATTTGTCTCGCTCGCTTTCTACGCTCAAATTCTGCCAGCACTTCAGCCTGTCGCTCACTCACACGCTCCTCCATCTCCATCGACTCACCTGAGGAGAGGAGGGAAATAAGTAACAAATAATATTGCTAAAGAGCAAACAAACATCCTTTCCTGTCACAAACAGATTAACCCTGTAAAAGCTGACATTAAAAAAAGAAAAAGAAAAATGATTTGCATGAGTTTTATGTTTTGTATCCTCTTTGGTACATCAGGTTTTTATGGCCTGTATAATATGATACAATGAAAACATGGAGCTAATGTTTTAGGAAGAAAAAACTTTTTATTTATAAGCCCAAACGGAGCAAAAATATGCAATTTGGTACAAAAGGTCACTCTATATCTCCCACTTATGTCTTAGTAAGAAATAAATGTTCCTCAAAAGCCCAATGTATCATATCTGACTCCGAGTAAGACGTGTTAAAGTATAAATTAAGTATATTAGTAAATAAGTATCGCTTTTTATTTCTCCTCTTTCCTACTACTTGTTTCAGTTTTTATAACCATTTCTTACTATGTGTAAGTAAGCACACCAGATACTGACTGGTTTTTGGAGCCTCCAATACAGTAAAACTGCACATTTTAGAGTGGCCTTTTATTGTGGCCAGCCTAAGGCACACCTGTGTAATAATCATGCTGTCTAATCGGCATCTTTATATGCCACACCTGTGAGGTGGATGGATTATCTCGGCAAAGGAGAAGTGCTCACTAACACAGATTTAGACAGATTTGTGAACAATATTTGAGAGAAATAGGCCTTTCGTGTACATAGAAAAAGTCTTAGATCTTTGAGTTCAGCTCATGAAAAAAGGGGGCAAAAACAAAAACGTTGCGTTTATAATTTTTCAGTATATATATATGTGTGTGTATGGTTGTAAATACACATGAAGTTGTTTTTTTGGTGTTTGGCTTAGTGTTATGTTAGAATCATCATTATACTCTTATACCTTTTGTTCTTTGATATTTTGAAGTGTTTTTAGCTTTATTTTTTTGTTTTTCATTTAAATGTTAAGTTTTGAAATTTTGTTGTATGCATGTGTCATTTTTTATTTAATTTCTTTATTTTAAAAATGTGTATAGGTAGTATTTATAAAGTTTTAGCTTTTAGTTTTGGATCTGTTTTTAGTTGTGTTAATACTACAACTGATTGCTTCTGTTGTCCTCATTTGGCAGTCGCTTTGGATAAAAGCGTCTGCTAAATGACTAAATAAATAAATACAATTATTGTACATGATTCTTACATTTTAATATGATTTTTCTAAAACTAATACATTTCTTCAGTCCAGCAAGTGTTCATTTTGAAGTATCACTAACATTATAAAAGTTACTTTTGTTTAATTTATAAAAAAGGGGAACATTAAAAAAAATAATAAATCACACTAAAAAGCCTTTTACTTGCTTGAAAGTATAAACTATTAATCAGACAACAGAAGGCATATAGCAGATTGATTCTGTGTAACAGTATTTTCAGCACAGTTTTGATCATTTTGCTAATTTAGAGGCTTCAGAAATTCCAATGAAATATGCTACAGTAGGCTTAGGGTTAAAACACTACGATGAAATTTCAAGAATTTAGTGGTTTGTAGTTTGGGCTCTGATAATAACATTTGCCATCTTGAAATATCAAACTTACCACTGGAGATATTAATATGTCCAGCCTCAATGCCAGCTTTAACAGCATCTTTAGCAGAGGTAGATATTCCTTCACGGCTGAGACGCTGCTTCTCCTTTTCTTCAAGGCTTCCATAGAAGATCCTGGCCTTTTTCACAACTGGAACTTCGTCTTCATCCGACATCTTTTCAACTATTTGTCCAACAACCACAGAGTATCTGATATGAAAAACAGGCATCATTTTAAACCACAGTATCTGATTTACAAATAATGTATGGACAGTTCTACATCGTACCTTATTAGCCAACCTAACTTTTACTTTGGTTGATGATAGATAAAATATGATCAAATAACGCTATTAAAACCGTGATTGCTGGAAGACACAAACGATACATACGGGTCCCCATTCAGAGTCAGACGGGTGAATAACTTGTGCTCCTTAACTAAGTACTGCGGTAGTACTGTAATATTCTATCAATTACATTGAAGCACCATTCTTTATGAATACAGCAATCATTCAGTATTATATTACTACCACATGATATATTACTGTATCGTTCCTTTTTGCAGGGTGTTCAGAAACTAATTTGACCTGAACCAATAGAAGCTAATGAAAGATAAACTCAACTAACTCTTCACTTACCCTTTATACTTTCACAAATACCTTCCTTTAAAAAAAAAAGGCTGTTTATATGAAATCTAATGTATAATATCTACAAACCAGACTGTAAAACAAACAGCTTCAAACACGACCACACGACGCGGTCTACCCGTCGCACAGTATGTCGTTATATCCGCCTGTTCTTCTTCTTCTTTTTGTTCAATGGCCGTTCCACTCCTTAGGAGTATTACCGCCACCTACTGTATATCTTGCGCAGCTACCCGCCTGTTTTACTCTCCAGCGGTTGAAATAATGCCAGACCGCAGTGGAAATACTGTCTTGGTCTACTCTAATCGCTGCTTTAACATTATCAATTTATTTTAGTATTCTTTTTTTTATTATTTACTTTTTTACTTACACTTCCATCAGATGCACATTACACATTATTCCCATGAATACACTCATACATAAGCACACCTATGTCTACACTCACATTCACACATATGTACATATCTAAATGTGCCCATATATACATGCAGCCCTTTGCATATGTTGTGTACATATTGAGGAGAAAAAAAGGGGGAGAAATAAATACATAAAAATAGAAAAGAAAAGAAAATAAGTGGGGAGGGACAAGAAAGAAAACTATGTACATATAGGGAGTGATCTTTCTTTATATCGGAATTTTGATTAGAAAATAAAGTCAGGTCTATGAGATGTTGCATATTTGATCCATTTTTCCCCAGTGCAAAGCAAATTGTTCCATATTATGATTTACAAATGCTGTTATTTGCTCCATTTTATAGATGTCCAATGTGATTTCCATCCATGCATTTAGAGTAGGACTCTCCTGTGATAACCATTTTTTTTGTAAAACTGTTTTTAACAGCTACCAATAATATATTCATTAGATATTTATCTCTTTTTAACCATTCCTGTGGTATGTATTCAAAAAATAATACTTTACTGTTACAGGGTATCACACATTTAAAGATATCTTGTAAGGCAGTATGTATTCCTCTCCAGTAACATTATCAATTTAATCTTTTTCTTATTACGCTGACGTGTGTCCTGTGGAGCAGAGGTTCTAAATCTCATTGGGTCCCCCATTGTCCACAACAATATTTGAAGTTTGGCCCCCACCCCCAGTTGTTCATAATTTACTAATGGTGGATTTTTACGACTTTAATAACACACATGACTTTTTCAGGTCTAGAATTCACCGTTTTAGAATTAGGATACAGCAAATATCCAGGCTCATACAAGATTTTAATATATATAATAGGAATTCAAATAAAAAAAGTCTGGATTTTTCGATGTTTTGGCTTATTTGAATGCGTGTTTTGGTTTATCATTTTAAGTCACATTGAGACCCCCTGGTTATACCATATTATTTATACCATTATTAATTTATTCATTTCTCAGGGTGGGTTTATTTATTAAATTCATTAAAGATTTTTTTTTATTTTTTATAATTCCACCAAAACGAATTATTAAATGAACTGTACTACTTTTACTGTGGGCCTTTCATCTAAATATAAATAGAAAAATTATGAAATTATAAAACACTTCAAACAAGTCAGTGTATTCTATCACCGTGCTGCTGAATTACTGATTTCTGTCCTCTTTTATTTTCTATGCGCTTTAACTACATTTCCCATGATTCCCTTCCGAACTAACTCCCTATGGGGATAAAGCGTGTGTGACTGCGGTAAGTTATATGTTTGATATTAATCTGTCATGTTGAATAAAATAAACAGCAGTCTTCATAGATCATTACCCTGCTATTTGTGACTGTTTAAGACTCGAGAGTTCAAAGCTAGTGAGCTAATTAGCATGTAGCTGCTAAACAATAACGTTATATTGCTGCAGCAGGACTTGATAAAACCGTCTTTAAATTGACGGTATATGCATTACTTAACGATGATAAACTTTAAATATTGATATATGTGTTATGTATACAGATGTCGGTATTGCAGTCATCAGCGCGACTGCTCTGATAGTAATTTCCTCGAGACAAATGTGAACAAGGGTTCAGCATAATTAACGTGGGTTTATCCCACAGATGTATAATAAAACTGTATACATAGCTAAGTGGTGTGTTATCAGCTGTGTTGTTTAACAGCGAGAGGCCGGGGATGTGAAGATGCTGCGCAGGAGCAGGAGCAGCTGAAGCTGGATGACACGGAGGAGTTTGAAAGTGTCAAGAAAGAGCTGGAGGTACAGGCCAGATGATCCTCCAGTAAATTCACTTCTTCACAGGACTGGATGTTTAGGAGATGCTTTCTATACAAATTAGTTTCCAAAAAAGAACATTGAAACAACCAAGTGATAACCCTTTTAACTTTTTCACCCCTAAAAGGAGCTAATGAAAAAATGATTTAACTTAAAATTCTTATTAGTAGACATCTAATAAATAGCCTCAAGCTCTTTGTTTTATATAAAACTCTACCGTACGGTTGTGCTGTTAGTCAGTCCACAGTAAATCTCGATTTAAATTCGGAGAACTAGCCTATTTCATGAGTTATTTTCCAATAATACACATGCCTTTAACTTTATTAGTATCTTGGATACATTTCATAACCTTCAGGGTCCACACAGATAAAAAGATATATATATTTAAGCATCTGTATAATATATACAGCCGTATGGCAATATATATGCTATATGTTGTCCTTTACAGACATGTCAGCCGTACGGTCACGCATGATTTTGGATAATTATGGTAAATAAACATTTTTGCATTTCTCTTTTATTTAGCTATATTTCTGTTCTTTACCCTCTACTTCCTTGATTTCTTGTTTGACCCTATTTTCTGATGACTGATCAGCACTGTTCCAGTCCACGGATAAGGATTATTTGTAGAGAAACTGAGATTTGAAATGATTTCTTTCAGTATTTTTAAGTGGAACTTCCTCAAACCAGAAGTGCCTCTCATGATTTAAAATGCAGTAGGTTAGTTAGGAAAAAGATGGATTCTGCATAGGACATAGTATTTCAATTGTGTTTGTTGTGATCACATGAGCAGCCAAAAACGACTAATTTCAGCAGTATGCGATTCAACGTGTAGAAAGACAGTATAAGTCATTATAATCCGTAATTATGTCCCCACTGGATGCAACAAATGCCTCGTTTATAATGGGTTTTAATGTTTATGTCTCGTCTCTCCGGCCGGACAGGGCATCACAGTATGGTAAGGGGCGTAACATTTCCGTCACACGCTTGAGGTATTCAGCCAATCACAACACACTGGATAGCTGGCCAATCACAGCACACCTCTCTTTTCAGACCGATGAGTTTTGTAAAAATCAAAATGTTTCAGAAAGGCGGGGCATAGAGGAGAAACAATAATGTACAGTATGTGGAAAATATATATTTTTTAACCTTAAACCGCAAACACATTTCATTACACCAAAAACACAAAATAATGTTCTTTTTAGCAGCA